AAGAAGAGTCAGGGAAAGGGGCAGACACTGGAGCTCAGTAATATAGGGCAAATAAGATTTACGATCCACATTGATTTGAAGGATTAGGAGCGGGGTCACACAGAGTGGGCCTTTAGTCTAAGAAAGACCAAATTTGCCCTCCAGATGGAGAGTTAGACCAGCTGATACACATCTGTCTCACAACAGGACCCGGCTGACACTGGGCTCGCCTGGCCCAGGGGGTACATGGAAAGAGCCAAAGGGAGCCAGGATAGCAGCTCAAGGGCTCAAACATCTCTGACAATAAAAGATGACAAAGGCTTTGCAGACTACCAAGGTCTTGGGGAAAGAATTCCTGGGTGGTAAAGAAATGACGTAGAACATGAGGGGCTATAATATGGGCACTGTGGAGCCTGGAGCAGATCAAAAGAAAAAAGAACTCCGCTGTTGGACCATTAGATGGCTTTGTGTTCTTCTGTTTATTATCTATAGGACCAGGAAGGCCTTAGTTCTGAACTTGAGCACTAGCACTGACATATTTGTAGTGGTTCCTAGAGCCAATGTTCCTCCCAGTTCTGGCGCCAGCCAACTCTTTCTCTTTATTGCAAAAGACATGACTGACTAAGTCTCCCCTTCTTTCCATGTTTCCTTCCTTGCTGTGGCTTCTGCCATTCATTGCTTTAGTACTGACTTCAGATCAGCTTTATGAAGGACAGAGTTGCTAGATCCTAGAGTAGCCACAAAATGCCTTTCTCCCTTATTCACAGAGAAATGCGGTTCTTCCTGGGAGTAGATTCCTTATGCTGAAGATTTATCCTTCCATGGCCTTTACTTAGTAGTCCACCATCCAGCTTCTAGGTCTGCGGTGGAGATATTGGATTGCAGGTATGATGTTTTTCTTTTTTGGGGGGGAGTAATTTCTCCCCCCAAAAAAGTAAATTCTTATGTTATTAAGTAATTTCTTATGATTGGTGAAATCTTGCATGCTTTTCATTTGTTTTTCGTTTTGTTTTGTTGTCACTTTAAGAATTTAACTACAAACTTTCTTTGTAGTTTTCCCAGGACCTCAGTGAGCCTTTTCTATTTGTGAATTTGAACCTTTCATTTTAAACACTGATTTTTTTGTGTCAAGGGACTGCTCCTCCTTCCATCTGGTCTTTATTCTTCTCTCCAAATTTGCACTTTAGGTCCTTGAATTTGTTCTCAGAGTCCTCTGTATTTTTCCTCATGAATTGCTTCTTTTCCTCTGTTTGCTCTGTTATGAGCTTGTCTTCTACTTGATCTTCCAAATATTCAATTCTTACCTCAACACTGAGTCTCCTCACCTCTCCATTTCTTGCAGAACTTTTAAATGTGGAAACCATGTTATTTAAGTAGTAAGAAGCTTTTTAATCCTGCAATTCAATCTGTGTTAGTCTCTTACATGTATTTGTTTATTTGCATAAGATGTCTTCTCTTTCCCAGCAGATCTGTTTGCTCAAAGGTTGCCTGCCAGTCATGAGCATTCAGCTTGCACTTCCTTTTTCTGACTGTTGAACCCCCATATGTGAATCTAGGATCTCTCTTCCTTGTGGAAGTTAAGTTGCCATAATAAGCCAGAACACACCTTAGGGTGGCAGGAACCCTCCCTGTTGGCTGGAGACCTAGTGACCTGAAAGTTGCTATCTCCCTGCTGGGGCCCTGGGAAGTCACCTCTGAGCTCCAGGCCGTTGGTGTCCTCAGCCTCCCAGGCCCCAGAATAGAAGGAAACCCCGTCCCTGTGTGTGCCTCCCATAGTTTTTCTGACCTCTGAGATTGTCCCCCATGACTACACAAGACTACAAATGTCTCCCTCCTCCCAGGACTACTTGTGAGGCAGGCAGAGCCTACAGTAGGTCTCCCTGAGGCTCCCTCACCCCCAGGACAGAGCTTCAGGCCTGGCCTTGGGCCTGTGCACCAGTGATTCCTGCATTCTCATTATTCTTAGAGTTGAATAGGGCCTTGCTCTTTCCTCCTGGATTCTGGCAGAGCCTGAAGATCTGCAGAAAGCAGGCCTCCCGGCTCTGCCTGTTGGCTGGGTCCCACCTGCTGCTCTGCTTTGCACACAGAGGAGTTGGGTCAGGACTAAAAGGAGGGGTTGCGGGGATCCAGGCAGCTCTGGGAGGCCTTCTCAGGACAATGAAGGAGGCCTGGAGAATTTGAAATACAAAGCCTATGACAGGAATCCAGAAAAACACAATGTATTCCAAGGGGAAAAAATGATGGATGTCAGAAACTAAGAAGCAGCAAATCTTATATAGTTTAAGACAGGGGAGAAAAGGAAAAAAATGTATAGCCAAAACTGATGGTGAGGTCTACCCCAGGGTCAGGGGGAAAGGGTGCTGTGACCAGGGAGGCATAGGGAGCCTATGGGATGAGGTGGTGAGATCACAGGGTTCACAAAGTTTACTCTAGAAGAGATGCCTTTGGACAATATTGCAGTAGGAAGAACACAGGCTCTTGAATTAGGGTATATATATATGTATATACATATACACAGGTACATATACACAGGTACATGTATGATGTTATATAACCATCTTCTTGAGACACCGTGTTCTCATGATCTCATATTTAATACACAGAATGTTAGAAGATTGATATGGTAAAGAAAGAAAAGCACCAATCACATGATAGGCATGCAGTGAAGGCTACATTTCTTGCTTCTGCTTCTTTGAAAACAAAAACATCCCTGAATCCCTGAAACGTAGCATGGTTCAACCTAATGACTGTTTTTGCAGTGCATGAGAGAGCCATTTTGAATACAGAATCAGTGGAAGGGGTTCCTGGTGGGGCAAAAGTTGGTACAGTGAGAAAGAAGGAGAAAGAGAGAAAGAGAGAAAGAAAGAAAGAAAGAAAGAAAGAAAGAAACCAACCCAGCTCTAAGGTCAGGTTATAAAACCATGTCTTCCGTGTTCTTTCCATCACATCACCTTGTTTCTCCATAAAACTACATTATAAAACAACATTATAAAACATCCTCTTGTACATAACGTGCTACTAGTCAAACCGTTTCCCAGTTCCAGTGCCTCTCTTTCAAGATATTGAAAAAGCCCTTCGGCATGTGAATTATTCTAGTTTCTGGACATTGACTTCATAATTGTGATCATACTGGTTATACGCTGATGGTACCATGTGATAAACTTTGCTGTGACACTTCTAAGACAGAACTCCCTCCCCACAGTTATCATCCACTGAGGCATTTGGACCTACTTTCTGGCAGTGGAGCATTCCTACAAGGATTATGGGGGTGAGGTGCATTTTAGGAAGAACTGAGGTAGGAATGTGGTGGGGCCTGAAGTAAGAAGATCCTACAGGTCCTGACACAAGTCTGGAAGGCTTTTTCAACCAGATAGGAAAGAGCTGAGGTGACAGAAAGTGTGGTAATTTGGAGAAAGATTTCAGAGGTACTCGTGAGGTGTCATAAGGAGAACTAGCAGTGTTATAATTCTGTTGTAGAGAAAAGAAGGAAAAAATAAGAATTGAATTTGGGGTTTTCAGGAGAGCTTTCTAGGTAAAGAGGATGTTTGGTCAAGACTGGTATTTAGAAGATCGGATTACTTCTCCAAAGTGCTCAGTTTTCCCTGCTTTTCTGCTCTCATGAATGGTGTGACCCAAGGGGGCAAGCCTGCCTAGGATAAATTAGCACTCAGGAGTTGCAAAGTCACAAACCCTAGGGGAAAACAAAACAAAACACTGAAACATTTCCCAGCTAATACTGGTGAAGCATGTCATTTCCACATACAAAGATCCATTGATAAACTGAATGCTCCTGATGAAAATCGACTTTCTCTGAAGCAAAAGAGCATGGGCTATGACGTCACATGGTCCTTCTCTCTCCTGACTCTGTTGGGTCATCACTGAACTGTCCCCATATGTCCTCACCTGTGATGATCTTTAACGATATAAGTCATATAAAGCAGGTAAGTGCTTAGCATATAACATTAATCACTAGTATTAATTAATGTTATTTCTTTTTAAGATTTCATTTATTTATTTGACAGACAGAGATCACAAGTAGGCAGAGAGGCAGGCAGAGAGAGAGGTGGGGGAGCAGGCTCCCCGAGGAGCAGAGAGCCCAATGCGGGGCTTGATTCCAGGACCCTGGGATCATGACCTGAGCCGAAGGCAGAGACTTTAACCCACTGAGCCACCCAGGTGCCCCAGTTAATGTTATTTCTTGAGGTAGAAACTTATTTAGCTATGGAAAGTTTTTATAGAAATGGCTTAATAGTGGTTTAATAGAAAAGGCTTAAACATACATAATATTTATGGTATATATGTTTGCTGGACCCTAAGCACTATCTTAATACATTACAAATACATTGTCCACATCAAATATTAATGTGTGAATACAATGATTATAAAGAATAATATTGTTAAATAATATGTAGTATTTTATAGTTTCAAAAATTAATGCTGAATCTACCTTTATATTTAAAATGTGTCTTCTTTTAAAATTAGAAAGCTGAAAATATCAGGATTTTAAAAAACTCTTTAAAGTTAATAAACAGAAAAAAAGAAGAATGAAAAAATATCAAATTTATATAAAAGGCACAATTTATTAATATAAAGGACATAAAGTAGATATATATATAGTCATTTAAGCTAGAAAAATATGGATACAAACTTTCAAAGTGAATTATCAGTTGCATCAAATCTGGGGGAAACACAAAGATATAGTATTTCTCTATACCTTAGTAAGACTGAATAAAAAATTGGATTAGTAAATATTTACTTTTGATGGGCTTGAAATGACAATTTGAACTTCAGTATCTATAAATATCTTAGGAGCATACAAAGGATGAATTGTTTTTGTTTTTTGGTAAGCTACTAAAAACTAAGGCATATTATTGTCCTATCCTGTTATTTATATTAATAAAAGCCCAAAGCCTGTATTCAAATAGTTATCAAAATATTCACATACATACATGTTTTCTTGTCAAATTCCATCCCTCTCCGGCCATAGAAACTTCAGAGAAAAAAACAAAACAAAACAAAACTAAGTTTCCTGAAGTCTTTAATGTTTCTTAGACTGGTTTTATCTTTCTTCTTAGTATAGCCCTGGAAAAGCAGTTTGAATGCAAAGTCCCTTGACAAAATATCTTCCTTTTAAAAGATGTTCATTTAATATACAAGAAAAGAAAGGTCTCTGGGGAAAGCGGATAAAAGAGTTAGACTTTCTAACTTTTAGGTTGAAAAACAAGATATCAGAAAGCCATTTAGTTTCCTTTACGCTGCTGATTAAAGCCTTCATTTTAACCTTAGTTATAAATCGAGCACGTTAATCACTGAGCTGTTTTTACACAATTAATATTAACCTTCTTCAATCTTATCCCCGACTCCCCTGAAAAGCAATAGTTGAATTTTATTTATTCAGTGCACTGAATCCGTATTTCATTTAAAAGAGAACCCTGTAAGCCTGTATCTATTTATGTGAGAGATAAATGTCATGCTGATCTACATGCATAATGCTGTGTCATAGAGAAATCACGGTTGTAAAATGATACAGTCTTTAACAATGTCTTTTTGAAGTAACTGGTGAAAGGAAAAGATGAGTGAATCATTTTAGAAAATACATTACTGCACTTCCTAAAACAATCAAGGACTGTGTGTAATATCTCATTCTGCTGAAGTAGCTTATAGAATCGTAAATAGCCAATGCACAGTTCCTGTAATTAATGTTAGGCAGTTAAGAACGGCAAATCAATGTTCCTTTGGGTTCCATTTTTAGAAAACAGTGGGCATTTCAGTCATTTGCATGGCTTTATCAGTAAAGTTAAAAACTAGACCCAACTACACATACTGACTTCTGGAATACACACTCGGTGACTTCTTTTCCATGTGATAGCTCTTCTGGGTTGTGCGATGGGAAGGGACAGAGTATCTGTAGCTTCTGCTCTTTTCACTGTAACAGGAAACACAGCAGAACAGTGCCCCTCCAGCGATCAGCACCAGCGCGGTGGTCCAGCCTATGTAGAGAGCATCTCCGAGCTCGTGCTTTTGGGCAGTCTCCACTATTGGGCTGTAGAACTCTCTGATGATGGAGTTGGCCACCCAGCTCACCGGGATGAGCACCAGGACACCCGTGACGATGAAGATGATCCCAGCCGTTAGTAAGATGTGACTCTTTACCTTCTCGTCGTCTCCAGTGCATCTGGTGCATTTCATGCCCAGGACAGCGGTCATGAAAGCCAGGAAGGACAGTGCAGAGGCAGCACACATCAGCCCTCTGGATGCCTGTAGGTCCGGAGAGAGAGCCAGCAGGGAATCATAGACTTTGCACTGCATCCTGATGTTAGCTTGCCTCACACAATTCATCCACAGTCCTTCCCAGAAGTTTTCAAAAACCACAATGTTGCTTCCAATAAAGGCAGACACTCTCCACTGAGGCATGATGGTAACAGCCAGCGTGCCCACCATGCCAACACCGCCAAGCACCAGTCCAGCAATCTGCAGGGCGTAGGTAGCCATCGTCCTCTGGGATGGGTTTTATCCTACCCAAGTCCTGAGCTGGTAGGGCTACTCTGAAGAGAGTTTCTCTGCGCCTCAGGAGAGAACAGTTTTCCTGTTGTAATGACCTCAGAGCCTGGTGGTTTTTCAGAGCTGCTTTGCTACTTCTAGCCAGATTAAAGCCAGTGTTGGCTAGCTGAAGTGCCCCCCCTTACACTGACTAGGACAGGTAAACTTACAAATCAGGTGGGGCAACTTTCTTAGCCAATAAGAGGGGGATGGTAACCCAGGTGTGTCTAAACCGGCAAGAGATACTTGGAACGACTGGGCCTGCACATAAACATTCTTTGTACTTCTCAGTTTTCCAAGAAGACAGCCGTATGTTTACCTGCAGGTACAATGAGGAGAGTTTGCACAATCATCAAGGAATGCACCAATCTCTTGTGACATCAAAGGTGTACTTTGTACAGGCAATTCTGAAACTCTTCATAAGAGCTGCTGTGACCATGGCATGAAATAAAATTAATCTGCCTAAGAAATTGACTAGTACTGTCAGAATGCCAAAGTGAAAGGAGAGTAGGGGATTGATAGATTGCTCGTACCTGGGGAACCACATTCTTTGAAACACATGTGATCCAAGTGGTTGATTTAATGTGTCTACAATTTCAAAGCAAACTTGACTGTGGTGAAATCAGGGAACTGATCACACCAAGAACAAAATAAGGCTAAAGTAATTAAATATACAAGATTGCCACCCCCCCGTGGTACCAAACACATATTGTTCTCTTTTGAGCCAAGAAAACTTCTTGATTCATATTTTCCCAATAATCTTAATTATAAGAAAAAACGGCTGTAAAACAATAAATTAATCCAAATGATTTTCTCATGTAGCAAGCATTCAGGATAACCCGCGATGAAGTGATTTATAGATCTGTCTTCTTTTGTGGCTCTATCTTTGCTGCTCTGTCTTCCTAGACTGAAGGAACTTGAATTCTGCAGGTGGTACAAGACTCCTGGGTCTATATACGTGGCTGATATTTCTATATACAATATTTATGGGATGAGGTGACTGTGTTCTTGAATTGACTTATATTAAGTGTTAACTAAACTAAACTGGTTTTTAATACCATGTATGCAGGGGGAGATAGGAGCCCCCAAATGTAAAGCAATTTGAACTGTTTCTTCTCAAAATAATGTGGTGGTACAGAAATAAACATGCATGTTGATTTGGGAAAACTCCACTACCAATTTTCTCTGGAGATCCACAGGAATGCTCTTCCTTTTCAAATCTTTTCAAATTTCAAGCCATACTTTAATCTTATCTTTACATCATGAAAACAGTCTTTTCTTTACCATCTTACTTCTTCCTTGCTTCCTTGTATGACCTGAACTCTAAGTAGGGGCGAAGGTGCTTCTTGCTCACTTATTAAACTTTGAAATTCTAATGGCTCCAAAAAGTTTGAGTAGTTTGCAGAGGTTATGGAAACAAAAGTGGTACATGGCAGGGAGAGGAAGAGGAAGATACCAGAGTGAATTGTCTTTGGAAAAACAAATAAAACAAAAGAAATGGATAGTATCCCAAGCTGTTACTTTATTAGATGGAACAGGATGAAAGTGATAAAATTAACACTTGATATTTACAATGATTTTCTCACTTGTTGCCTTGTTAAAGAGTGAACTGTAGGGTGTTCCTTATGTTGACAGAAATATCTAGCATTTTCTCCTTCAGACTTGTATCAGTTACAGGTTTATGGTGGAGAGGGGAATAGGTTGATTTTGGAAAAATACCCTGTGATCCACAGTGAAATAATTGATATCAAACAAGCAGATTACTTTTTGTTTTTTTAAGATTTTATTTATTTATTTGACAGACAGCACAAGTAGGCAGAGGCAGGCAGAGAGAGAGGGGGAAGCAGGCTCCCTGCTGAGCAGAGAGCCCTAGGCAGGGCTCGATCCCAGGACCTTGGGATGACCTGAACCCAAGGCAGAGGCTTTAACCCACGGAGCCACCCAGGCGCCCTTACTTTTTGTTTCTAATTCCAACCTGGGAAAAGGAGTGGAAGAGCTGGTTGAATTAATGACTAAATATAAATTACATAAATATTATACATATACACATACACATAAATACACTTGTAGGGAATCAAATCAAAGTTCTTTTCTAAATTCATGTGTGACATATTTTTAAGAGCCTTGATTAGGTATTGCTGAATATCCCCATAAAAGTGGGAAAATTTGAGGCAGAAACAGGAAATTACATATGTGAGAGTCTGCGCCTTCCGAGGAGCGGCCTCTCAGGTGCACACTGAGGCACCAGCTGAATTTGTGTGCTCTCAGATCTTTCCTCCCATAGGCATTGAGCTTTACCAGGACCTTACTTCACAAAAATATATTTTCCTCATTTCGAAAACATGAGTACTTTACCAATGGACAGAAGATTAGGATCAGAATAAGAAACCAACCCTGGGTTCATTTAGAATAATTATAGAGGTAGCTGTCCTAGCAGAAACTAGCCCAGGGCACCCAGGTAGGTTGCTTATCACACAGTGATCCAGCTAACCCCGTAATATTTTGAGGTAATTATGCCTTAAGGGTCGTAGGAAATGAGAAAGACAGAGAAAAATGCTAATACCAAGTTGCGAGGGACAGAGAGGCCTAAATTCAGAGATTAAACAGTCAAGTTGACTACTTAACCGGCTTTTCTACATTATGTCTCTACTAAACAGCTAACTTGCCCACAAAATTCAGAAAGCAATGACAGTTGGAGAAAAACAGACTGATACCAGTTTTGTTGTTCTTCATATTCAGAACTACAGAGCAATCAATGCAGATGATTCTATCTGTATTTTCGTTTCCATTGGAAGAAGCAAACGATGGCCAAGAACCCATGAAAGGAACGCACGCTCATGTTGACCCATTGTATTCACTCTCTGGAGATCTCCTTTTTGTCTGTATTATCAGAAGCATGATTTAAGTTTAGCAATTAAATTCACTAAATTAAATTCAGCCCTGGTAACTGCATAACACATGCAAATGCTTTTCCTTTATAAACGATAACACACAATGTCACTGTCAGACTGCCCTTGGTTTTGTCATCCTTATTCCTACAGCAATTAATCTTTAACCAACAATCCTTTAGTCTGGGGTTTCTATTAATTCTTATCACTACTTGAAATAATCTTTGCTTCTGCCAATCAAGCAGTTGCCAACTTCTATTGTTTTCTGGATTTGTTTTTGTATTTATTTTTCTCTGTTGTGTTGACACTTTTCAACCTGTATTTATTTTTAATTATTTTTCACTGCTAATTAACTGTACTAGGCTGATCATCTTGTCCTGAGAAAACAAGTGAACATATCAATAGATCTCTTTGTGTGTGGCTCCCAAAATAATATTGTGCATTGCTACATGTTCTTAAGCTACATCATCCTATTTGTCCTTCAGGATGACCGTCTGCTCATGTTCTCTGTTCTCAAAGCCCTGTATCCATTGCAGTTCTCTCCATATTTGCCCCTCTGTGATTTATAGTTAATTGCTCTATTAACTCCTTCTTGTATTATCTAGTGTCTTAGTCACCTTCAGGCTTCTTTAACAAAATATAATAGACTGGGAGCTTAAATAACAGAAATTAATTTTTCCCAGCTCTGGATGCTGGAAGTCTGAGATTAAGGGGACAGATGGTGGAGTTTGGAGTTTTGGGGTAAAATTTTTTTTTTTTTTTCTAGTTTGGCAGTGTGAGAAAGAGAGAGAGATCTACTCTCTTTCTCTTGAAATAAGGACAGTAATCCCATCATGAGGGTGGGGCCCCCTTATCTCATCTAAACCTAATGAGTCACTTCTCAAAGAGCCCACCCCTAAAAACCACTGCATTAAGGATTTCAAATACGAATTTTGGGGGGAGACCAAGCTGCAATCTATGACAGCTTGATACCAACAAATTGGATCAATTAATCCACATCTGAAAGGTCTATTCTTAATGTCTCAGGAGTTCTCTTTATTCCAGGACCACCCCCATAAAAAAAACCTCATAAATGTAAATAAAAGATAGATAGTGGGAATAATGATTACTGAGATGTTTTTACCTTTCTTCTAGTTTCCACCGCGTTTTTAAAAATGAAAATCTGAGTTGTGGTGAATTCTGACGTGTTTGGGGAAATTGGGCCGTGTTCTTTTATCAAGCCTCATATATATGATATCCCCACTGAAGGACTGGAAATGCAGGGAAATAATTCTTTATAAAATACTTTAAATAATGTGCAATTTTGTGTGTGTGTGGGAGTTAATGAGTAATATCTATGGACAGAATTGACATGAACAGCCCTAATTCTAATGAGTTGGAAAAACTTTTTCAAGGAGCTGGAAATTGCTAGTAATAGTAACTACCAGGTATTAAATGTCTGTGTCAAATGTTCCTTATATGCACCAGACCTTATGTTTAAAACATCCTAGAAAGCACCTTTTTCTAATTAAATACATTAAAACACAACAGAAACTAGGTCTCTTCTAAGGCTACACAGCTTTTTTCCCACAAATGGAGCCCAGACGTGGACCTAAAGCCTGAATCTTTTCCTCTATGTCTACTATCTCCCCCTGAAAAAAAAAAACAAAAACAAAATAACAACAACAAAATTAAAGAAAAAGAATGTCTATGACACAGGTGGTTAAAGTTAATGAAAACGAGGGAATGTACTCAACATATTTTTTTCCTCCCTTGCGTGTTGTTGAAACTCTTTACAATGCTAAGCATTGTGATTTTTTTTTTTTTCCAAATATCTGAGACACCGATATTTGCATTCTTTTCTTCAGATACTCTATTCAGAGGCATTCTTACTGGGACAATCAAACCACCATTATTCCTTATTTAGAGTTTCAGAGTTCCCACAATGAAGTCGCCATTGGTACTCCTTTCTTATCAACCTTCCATTCTCATCTCCATCAATTATAGACTTAGTCATGGTATTAATTAATGATCTAACCACCACTGAAGTTATTTTTGGCTAAAATAAGAATTAACCAGAGTCAGTGCAGTGAAGTGAACAGCCTCGGGTATTGGTGTCCTAGGCTTATTTCCCTTTGTGTTTTGCAGAAACGTATTAGTGGCCCACTAAGGTATGACGTCATGGTCACCTTCATTAGTTCACTAGAATGCTCTTTTCAGTGACTCACTAATACCTCTTTTACCTTTGATCAAAAGCCAAAATAAAAACAGTTTTAAGTTGCATAAACTGCAACAGTTACTTGGGGGATTATTTGTGAAACAATTTTTTTTAAAAAATCTATTTCCTGTGATAATCCTTTCTGTTGAAATGTGAAGGATGATGTGCACATTTAAAAAAATTAAATTCATTTTTATTTTTTACTTAAATTCATTTAGCCAACATAGAGTACATC